TGGCTTTATATGGCGTTCACGGGATACACATCTTAAATTTCTGTTGTTGATCATAACCACAACATCCATTTCAGCGTGCATACACACTGTACATATGAATTAGGGCCTTTTATAGGAAAAAAATGATCGCAGAATGTTCTTAGGGTCCCGAACCTCGTCAAAACATATAGTATTGCGATAAGTTCGTGATGATCACCTAGGTCTTCTAAAGGTGATCAATGGGCGTGTATTCTGAGTACAATTTCTAGAAGCATAGATATGACGGTGTTTCCTATCGTCAATGTTAACACACTATTCATCATGATCTTCGCATCGCGCGGTTGCGCTTCGTTTGATCTGCTCTGCGCCATGGAGGCGGGGCAACCACGTGAAACAAATGTTTTAAATTCATTTGGAATCGCATACAGACTGATTCATGCGTCGCGCGACCGCGCCGCTGCATTACGTACCTTTGGCCACAGCATAACGTGGGAGCCGTATATTGGCGGTTGTGAGCTGATGCGGGTTAGCGGCAAGATCTTGCAGTTACGTGTACCTGTACCTTTCAGGTTTTCTCATTTTGTTGTCTGGAGTACTCGTCTTCGTCAATTTCAACTGTTTGGGAGATAAAGAAGAGAAGAAGGATGATTAATTATTTATTGAATTAAATATTGTATTGATGAAATTTTATTTCACACTGTTTGTTATGGTTGTTGGAAATAAAAGTACTGATAATATCGAAAAAATGCTTTGAATCAGTAACTAATAGGCTATTTCTATCATACCAAACGCATTTTATTAAAGACTTGGATGGAAACTAATGAGCACTTCTCAAATAGACTCTGACTATAATTCGAGAGTGAGCTTAAGTACTTTTTCGAAGTGATTTTGTCCACAAAGCAGCTAACTTTACAACAAATGAGTTTATGCGAAATTCTGATAGCGATAGCAAGTGATAAGTACCAAGCTGCATATAAATGGGGAGGTTTAGCGGTTGTTTCCTCACTCTACTAACTCATCCATCACGATGGATCAGGGTTTCTTCGGTAACAGGTGAACACATTGTTGCTGCGGCACATATGATCTCAGATTGGTCAGTTCCAGGCGCAAGTCTCGTTCTCCAATCAGACGCGGCTTTCCGAGATTCCCTCAGTGGACATCGCAGGCACGTGCTCAACAACTGAAGGAAGAAGGAGAGCGACCCGTATTTGGTCCTTGGCAACAAGCTCCTCCTGCACCACCCCCACCACCACCACCACCACCACTTACCACTGACAAAGAGGGTTTCGTTGTGTTTGGACCGCAACCACGACCACGACCTAGAAGCAGGTCACTAGATCGGGCCAAATACAGGATTCCCATCTCAGGGGGATTAGAACCTATTGGTTCACCTGGCGAGAAAGGCAAACTGAGTTACGCTGCTGCTGTTCAACATTGTACTGACACTACTTCGGAGTCATCATCAGGGCCAGAACCACTGAGCAGCCCGACGCTGTCTCGAGTATCATCAACAATCTCCTCAGATTCACTTGGAGATCTTTTCCCATTTGATTCGGAGATCTTTGAACCTATCACCCTTAAAAAGGAACTAAAAAACGAAGGCATTGTAGCTTTGAGAAATCCAAACACTGTTGCCATCTGTCAGCCACCGCGTATAATCACCGATATGCATCCGAGAATACCACGTGGAATTCCGGATCTTCGAGGAACATTTGGAGCCTACATCAAGCAGAAACCTAGCGTCCCTGAATTGCAAAATTTAATAAATAAGTTGAAGAAGATGTCAAGAACAGAGGTGAGTCAAATAAAAAGTGTAGTTAAGGTCTTGCGGATTAGATTCAACGCATTTTCAAGCATTACGTGAAATTAGCATACATTACAGCTTATTTCTTGTTCACACCAACTTTCACTTACACCCAGTTGAATACCACGTTGAGATTAAGGGAAATAATTGGATATCTCGGCTGTATCACAGTTGATAATTTTACCATTCCTCACTTTGGAAAAGCGTTACATGGTCGTGGTCACTTCGACTTAAT